GACCCTTCCCGCCCTCCCGCCCCCACAGCAGCAGCGCTGTCTCCACACTGAACCTTGCAGGGGGCGCGGCTCTATCCACTGAGCCAAACCAGGTAGGGCGCTTATAAGTTATATTTTAAGAAACATTTCCTCTTTAATCATCCAAAACCCGCGGCCACGGGGAGCTCTTCCAATCCCCCTGCACCCCCGGGGGGAAGGACACCCTACCCCAGCCCCTGCACCCACAGGGTGATGGGGAAGCTGGCCAGATGGAGCCTGAGTATTTTTTTTTTAATTTTTATTGATTTCAAAGAGAAAGGGAGAGAGGTAGAAACATCATTTGTGAGAGAGAATCATTGATCAGCTGCCTCCTGCAAGCCCCCTATGTGGGATCAAGCCTGTAACCTGGGCATGTGGCCTTGACCTGAATCAAACCTGGGATCCTTCAGTCTGCAGGCCGCTCTATCCACTGAGCCAAACCAGGTAGGGCGCTTATAAGTTATATTTTAAGAAACATTTCCTCTTTAATCATCCAAAACCCCATGCAAAAAGATGAAGTCTCACCCATAGTACAGATGTAAGCCATTACAAACTGTGAACATAGTCTAACTTGCTCCTCTATGAATATATTATAGACACACTAATAAATACCAATGGATTAAATATTACATCTGATCTTATCTTCCACATAAATTGAGATAGAAGGGAAGGCAATGGATCAAAGTACTTAAAATAAAACAATTCTTTTCCCTTAAATTCCACTTTTCAACTTTTTGTGCTAATTTACACCAGACACATTACCATTTTCTATGAAACATTAAAGAATGGTGCCAAGCAGGAAGGTTTGACAGCTACTCCCCCTTCGGCCTCACCACCCCCCTAGCGGCCCCCTAAAGCCCTGCCCGCTGCTGAGGAGGATAACAGGGGAAAGACAGAGAAGCGTGGGTCCTTTGTGATACAGGACCTTTAGCCACTATAGTGATTCTGGAACCATCTACCTCCAGACTTCTTGCCATGAGAGATAATTAAATGTCTGGTTTTTATACAAAGGAAGGAAGGAAGAAGGAAGGGAGGGAGGGACGGAAGGAGGAAGGGAAGGAAGGAGGGAAGAAGCTGGTCATAAACTTTCTATTCGAGAATGAGTTAACAGTGAATTTTTTGCATCTCTTATGGTTCTAGGAGGCCTCGTCTACTATCCTACATAATAAAAGACTAATATGCAAGATATAGGACTCATAAAAAATCATTTTTTCTTGCAACAAAAATGGTTAAACACTTGGGTTTTCTAAAGAGACTTGTATAAATACAAAGCTACAAAGATACACAAAGCTGAAGTGTCTGGAATCATTTTTCTCCCTGAAGTCTTCAGCAAGATCACAAAGTGCTCAAAAATTCTTTGACCTGAGAGGAGGAAAAACATATTAATATAATTATTTGACTAATTTGAGATAAATAATATTCATCTTCATTTAAAAGTATATAACAATTGAGGCCCCACCTGTATAAATAACCCTATCACAAAGCCGTAGCATTTACTTTAAAAGATCCACACATATAAAGAGGTAATATGCTAATTGTCCGTTGCAGTGTCCCAGTAACGACCAATTTGCATATTGACAGACAAGCAGGAGGCTATGTGTGCAGCAGGGGGCAGGTGGCCGGAGCCAAGTTCCTAGGGGTTTGAGGACAGTGCCTGACAGGAGCCCCGACTGCAAAGATGGAAGAGGAAGCGGCCACGGGGAGCTCTTCCAATCCCCCTGCACCCCCGGGCAGGACTTCTAAAACAACTGCCCACCATGGTTGGCAAGTACGATGTGAGCCCCAGATTGGAAATTTAGAACAAAGAAGTCATTTGAATTAGGAGGAAGGGACGGGGGGATGGCTAGGGTGTGTGATACGAACAGGAAAATGATGCTTTGAGTTGCAGCTGCCATAAATCTAGATGGTGTTGGATTATGTCTTACACGATCATGTGTTGCCTACTGACGTTTGGCCAGTGGTGGACTGCATCTACAATGGTGGTCCCATAGATAATGAAGTTGAAAAATTCCTGTCACCTAGCAACATCACAGCTGGTGTAATGTCATAGAGCAAAAT